ATCTCGGCAACATTTGACTTCCATAGTATGTAAAGCTTTTAAATATATTTTGAAAGAATAATTAAACACATGGCCTGGATGACAGACGATGCCATGTTTGCTTGTGATGGGACAAAGCCAGGAGCTCCCTTCTTGTTCTGTGTACTATGTTCCTAGGAACCTAGTACAAAAAAAACTATCAGAAAAAAATCACTTGTAGTTTACCTGGCCCCATACCATAACTCATCTTGGTTAATAATCCCTGGGATAAGGCTAATGTTCTGGGAGGGTTTTTATAGATAGGTTCAAGGTTTATGACTCCTGATGAGTGATTTTGTGTGTGTCCATTTTTGGGTGTACAGTGTGACACCTTAAAAGACCCTGGTGATGCACCTGGGGAGGAACAATCGGCACCATACATACAGGCTGGGGAACTCCCCTCTTGTCAGCACGGAGGTGGAAAAGGATCTGGGAGTCATTATTGACTCCAAGATGAACATGAGTCGGCAATGTGGGGAGGCGGCTAGGAAGGCCAACTGCACCTTGTCGTGCATCCACAGATGCATCTCGAGCAGGTCCAAGGAGGTGATCCTCCCCCTCTATGCGGCACTGGTCAGGCCGCAGCTGGAGTACTGCGTCCAGTTCTGGGCGCCGCACTTTAAGAGGGATGTGGACAGCATCGAGAGGGTCCAGAGGAGGGCCACTCGTATGATCAAGGGACAGCAGGGTAGGTCCTATGAGGAAAGGTTGCGGGACCTGAACCTGTTCAGCCTTCAAAAGAGAAGGCTGAGGGGGGATCTTGTGGCCTGTTATAAACTGGTTAGGGGGGATCAGCAGGCGCTGGGGGAGTCCCTGTTCCCCCGAGCGCCGCAAGGAGTGACCAGGAACAATGGTCACAAGCTGGCGGAGGGAAGGTTTAAGTTGGACATCAGGAGGCGCTACTTCACGGTCAGGGCGGCTAGGGTCTGGAACCAGCTTCCATGTGAGGTGGTGCAGGCTCCCACCCTGGGGGTTTTTAAGAGGAGGTTGGATGACCACCTTACTGGGGTCGTTTGACCCCAGTGCTCTTCCTGCCATGGCAGGGGGTCGGACTAGATGATCTGCTCAGGTCCCTTCCGACCCTAGAAACTATGAAACTATGAGCTTCAGCTGAGCAAGCTGACTTCATGCATTTGCTGCCCTTCCACACCCCACCCAATACACAGCCCACAGACAGGAACCTGAGGGTGAGCACAGTGCTGGAAGTGGTCCCACGGGTCTTTGTGTCCACTGGCCACCGTTAACTGAAGGAATGCCCCAAACCGCCACTTCAGTCCCTCCCCCACATATACAAGGCACAAAACCCACAACCCTGAGAACACCCCAGCACATGCCAGAGGCAACAGCAAGAAAAAGGCCAGCATTGCCAGGGCAACCACAGGGAAGCAGCTGATTAAACCTGTGCCCTGAAGATCCCAAGAGAAGGACTGTGCCCCACACTGCAGAGGATAAGATACTTGCCCCTTTTATATCATCTCCAGTTCCCCAGTGGACAGACCTCCCCTGACCATGACTGTACCCCATGCCTCCTGCACAAGACTCTGCAATACCCCGACTTTGCCTGTTCCCCTTGTCTGTATGCCCACCTCATATCATCCCATAGCCCAGCCTTCCCAACACACCAGTCTCACCCATATTCCAGGCCTCAGCAGGTAACCAGCACCAAAACACCTGCTCAGGCTGCTCAACCCCAAGCTGTGTCTGGCTTATGCACGGGGGAGGTCTGGCAGCTTGGGAATCAGAGCTGGGGTTATGCCTCACTCTGCCACCTACTCACCACAGGACATCAGCCCAAATTTAATCACTCTGGAGGTCCAGCTTGCTCTGTCTTTAAAGCACCAGAGGCTGAGACCAGTCTGACCTGCTCAGAAATGCTTCAAGATGCTTAGGAGCCAGGCAAGCATGCTGCAAAATGTCACATGGGGCTGAGGCACAACAGCCAGGGGACCATGTAGTAGCTTGGATGGCAGGGCTGCAGGATGCAGGAGATGCCACCTATGCAACTGGCCGAGTGCTCCCAGAAGAACAAAGCCCACACCCCAGGAACCGGTCCCTGACTCACCATAACCTGCAGCAGCTGGGGATCCACATGGTTAGCAAGGGGCGCATCCTTCCCATGCTCGCTGGCCTCAGAGTCCTTTAAAAACCCAGAAAGGAAGAAGTTACAGCATGCACCTGCTGCCCTCCCTGTTCCGTGGGCATGCCCAACACGCAGGAGGACAACGGCTGAAACTTGGGAAGTCAAGCCAACTGCTATGCACCAGGGAGGAAGAAAGCAGCCACCCCCAAGTCTCTGGGGCATCCAGGGAAGACCTTTCCAAGGGTGCAAGCCACAGACTTGCCTAAAGCACCATGTGATGCAGAGAAAGGACTTTTGGAAAATGGAGGGCTAGGAAAGAGCAGGGAAGGCTCTTCAGATGAGCTGCCAAACACATGGGCTTCCCGAGGAAAGGCCTTCCCGACCACCCATGCTCCTGCAGAGCCTCTGACAACCCCATACACTCCTCACTCCAACCACTGTTCCCTGCCTGTCTCTAGCTTGTCACTCAGCTCCCAGACTCGTGTTCCTCTATCCATTTTACCATCCAGATAGTGCACTACGTCCTATGACTGGCAATCAGCCCTCATTAGCAATGCCTGTGCAACCCCTACTCCTAGACACACATGTGGGCCTGATCAGGATGATGCTCAGAACAACACAGCACTACAGCGCTGAGATGGGCTGCAGTGCTGCTCCAAAGACTATGGCCAATAACAAGTATGGCTGCTAACAGGAGCGGCCCCACCGGTCCCACTCCCCAGCACTAGTGCCTGCTTAACTCTGGGCCCCTGAGCAGTCTCACTGGCTTCAGCAGGTCTGCTCCCACGAGTGACGCTGGACATGCATGCAAGGCCTTGGAATCATAGAGCCATAGGGCTGGAAGGGACCTTAGCATCTCAGGGCCTTATCCTGAGAAGCACCGTCTAGGTTCTGCATTGTAACTTCCAAAGCCCTTGTACAGAGAAGGTGCCCTACAAATACTCCATAACAGCCACCAGGAAGAGACAGCCCCGGACTGTGGCGAATCACTTCACCACGGCTCTAATGCCTTTGGACGCCTGCATGTGCATGGCACGCCCAGCTCCTGTGTGTGTCCCCTGATTCAGCTCAGGCACTCAAACTGCCTTGCTGGGCCAGCACAGGCTTTGCTCTCACCAGGGACCACACTAGAAAGCACCTTCTGCTCTCCGGCCAGTCAGTTTTTGGGTCTCTCTTCAAAAAGGGTGGGGAAGGTAACTTGGCTACCAGGAGGCACTGTAGACAACCCACAGCTCTGGAAGCAACCTCAGTAGTTCGGTCCTCTCCCCTATTCCTACAGCACCTCCCCCTTCAGAGCTGTGACACCACAACTGGCAGCACTTTTACACCTTTGCCCCCTCCCCCTGCACAAGCTGAGAGAGAGAACACAGAAGGGGAGTGACGAAGAACCACTGACAGCTGGGCTTGGTGTGAACTTCGCTGTAAAACCTGCTTACTCAGTGTAGGAGGCAGCACTGAAAGATTCAAAAGCAGTGTCCCGGTGCCGTGTTTCTGCCTGTCAGGCACTTTGAACAGCACTTTGCATGCATATCAAAGTAGGGTTCCCTAGCTCAAGGCTGGGATTTTGTAGAGAACTGCAATCCCCTCCAAGAAACGCATCAGCGCCTAGGGAAGTGCTTACACACACACGCTTCACTCCAAGCCACCTGCCTACATCCCACCAAAGGCAACAGGATGTAAGCACGTGCTGAAAGTGCCTTCCTATACCTGGGTCTCGGAAAGCCGGGGAGAGGGCAGGACAAGCCAGACCTCTCGCACAAAGCCCTGCCCAAGCAGGCCAATTCCTTACTTCTCCAGCCTCCAGCTTGCTGCCTGTTTGCAAATCAGCTGCTTCTTCCCTTGCTTCACTTGCAACCTTCCCATCGATGGACACAGTGTCAACAGTGACCGCCAGGCTTGCTGGCTGATCTGCCTCAGCAGCTCCCACATCTGCAGATGCAGCACTGGACGGCCCACGACTGCTGGCCGGGTCTGTCCCGGCTGTCATCTTCTCCCCCAGAGTGCCTGGCTGCTCCTGAGCTGCTGAGATTTCACCTTCTACCTTAGCATCCTCCTTTTCCATTAGCTCAGTCCCAGGGGGTTTCCCATCACACTCCTCTTTGTTTAGGCCAGACAGGCTGCTGTCAGCATCTCTGTAGAGTAGTTTATCTGGAGTCGGAGGGCACGCACCAGCAGAGGACTCCTCTCCTTCAGCATGTCTTGCTTGTAAAGATTCCTTCTAGGCAGCAAGTTAAAGACAATTACAGCTGCACTCTGTGAACGCTCTCCCCCAGCTAGGGGAAGGTTTTTATTGCCAAAGCGGGGCTACATACTCCTACGGGAAGAAGGATGGCAAAGCTCAGGGTACTTCAGTGAGGTTGCTTTTAATTTATTCCCTTTTTGGGAAAAGGGGCCTCATTGTGCTCAATGCATTTTATCTCCCAGGGCTGGAACTGGCTTTTACTGAGCGGCTCGCACATTCTACGGATGCTAGCAGGCATGCATTAGGGATGGGGTTACAGCGACCGCAGGCCATGCCTTGCAGCAGCACTCACAAAACCTCAGTCTGTTTAGTAGCAGAGAGTTGTTTCCAAAGGACAGTGCTTTTGGGTCTGTAATTTTTGCTTGGAACCATCACCTAAGAGGAGGTAAGGCAGGGTGTGTCCAGCACAGTGCCCTCTTCAGCATAGGCCCAAGACCTGGCAGGAATTAAAGGCGCAAGTCTTCAGGCTCAGGAGGACAAAACCAACCAGAACACAAAGGCTGGTGCCCTGGGACTGTCTAGAGCTCTCTGCATGGAAAGGGCCCCCAAAGATCCAGCAACGTGGCCTGGCAGCAGGGGTTTGGGACCCTCATGGTAGCACAAGACCTGGACAAGCAGGCAACGTCCCTCATCAGCATGCACGGAGCCACCTGAAGCACAGGTGTTTCGTTACCTCTGTTTCGTTACCGCTGCAGCAACAAGCCTCTGTACAGCGCGTACCGTGCACGAGTGGCATGTTTTATGAGGGATTTTTTTTTTACTGTGGTGTTGCTTTAAAGCATCGGCTGCAAGGATCCCTACAGGCTGTTGCTCCACTGAGAGAACTTCTTCAGCTCCAGTCAGCCGACCTATTAGTCAAGTTAGGGAAGGGCAAACAGCAACCAAATCACTTTCCCCTAATGCTGCACTTCCAAGTGTCACCAGCAATTGAATGGGGAACGGAAGGAAAGCCTCAAGCCCATCTGCACAGCAGCTCCGTACCCAGCTAACGGTCCTATAAGCGTGCCGTGCTCTAGCTGGCTGGCCTTCTGGGGCTTGCCAGGGTAAGCAAGGGCTGGGAACTGATTTTACAATCTGGACGATTATCTTCCCTGGTCTCCTTGGCACTTCCCCCTTATGTGTGGATGTCAGTGTGCCCAAAGAGACGTGTGCCCACTGGCTGTGCCTCATGGGATGGTTTGCTCTGGAATTTACCCTTTTCACCACCAAACGTGCGAGAGAGTGTCTTTTAGGAAGGGCTACCCCACAGCCACGTTCACCCCTCTCCAAGTGGACTGCACAGGGTCCTGACCGCACAGCACGACACATGGACCAAACAGGAACTACTACTATTCCCACCACACAAACAGGTACGCTCTTCCCTCTGATGGGCACAGGCACCCAGCAGCATTCACTGGAGCACTGGTGGGGCCTCTGCATACAAAGAGGCAGATGTCTCTTAGGACAAGCTCACATGAGCCAGTGGCACAGCTCAGAAACTGGTTTTTGCACAGCCTCGAGGACAGGCATGGGAAGCCTGGCTGCAATGCTGCATCTGACTGATCGCTACACACAGCTCTACACAAGACAGCTATGCATCTCTCACACAAGCAAAGCCTCCATTTTGCAAGGACAGAGCAAGTCCTTCTAGGCATTCGAGTGCTAGTCAGGTAGTAATTGGCTCCAGCTGGTCCTCCTGCAAGTTGGCACATAATCTACCTGCAGCTGAGTGACACGGTGTGCAACTCCTGCCCATCAAGTAAATTACTCCTGAACAGAACGCCCCCGGCCATCAGCACAGATCTGAAGCAAACCCAGCTACATGGACGGGGCTGGATTTCAGGAAGCAAGTCTTGGTCTGCAGCAGTATCCTGCTCAGTGCACACAACAGTGCAGCCGTGTCACCCTCTGGAACGTACATGACTTTCATGGGCAGGATCACCGTGCAGGGAACTTATCTTTATTTTGCTTTCAACGAGCAAACCAAATGTGAGCTCTCTGGCTTTTGCTGCGGGAAGCCAGAGTCACGAGTTAAGGCTGTTCTCAGACAGAGCAGCCCACAGAACGGGGCAGGTTCTGCGGCTGTCAGGAGGGATGCCTTCCCTGCTGCTTTGCAGGGTGGTAAGTCTTTCTCATGCACTGCCAGGGGACAGAGCCAAATAATGCAACCCCAATGCCACATCATAGCACTAGAAGCAAGCTATTTTCTACTCGAAGCTGCAGTGACATCACGCAAACCAGTGATGTCAAAGCGCCACTGGTCACCTCTCTCAGACTTCCCGTTTCATCGGCAGAATTCCTCTGGTGCTGGAGCTTGGGTTCTGTGACGTCAGCTAACTGGCTGCCACAGCTGTCCTCCTCTGCTTTGCAGCTGCCCTGATGAACGGGGTAACATCTGCTAGCCAACATGCCCCTGCCGCCCTCTGAACACAGGGCACTTGCTCATCATGGCTTCCTCCCCTCCCGCCAGTACAGCATGGACTAACAACCCGGAGAGGAATTTAGCATTTTGCATCTTTCTTCTTACTGATGCTGTCTTAATGGCAGACAAATTACATTTCCAGAAGAAAGGCAGAAGTGTCACCAGTAGGGAATCCCTTGATTCCCCCCACCTGTCTCTGGAACATAATGGAGCTGGGTGGATTTTGAAACTCTGAAAGGAGCAGAATCCAGAGCCCTTCAATGCTGGACTCAGGCACCTACTTCCCACAAGTTGTTCATGAAAATCCCAGGGACAGCACTAGATGTGCCACACCCCCCCCAGCCCCAACCCACCCACCCCCGTCTCTGCAGAATGCTTTACTGCGTCGCTCTCCAGGTTCACCTCCTTGCCATG